GTCATCGGCAGAAAGTTTATTCTGGACCATAAACTGCGCAAAATCACCAACGACTTTCGAGCTTGGGGTCACTTTGATGATGTCACCGAGCAGTAGATTAGCTTCCCTGTAGGCTTTCTTCACGTCCTCGAAGAATTCTCCCAATCCCAGAGAGTACGCCTGGAATTGTAAATTCGTGTACTGGCCTCCAGGAATTTCGTTTAGATAGACGTCTGCGTTTCCGGATTTCATTGTGGTTGTGCATTCGAACGGGGCGTATAGCGTTCTGGTTTGCTCCCAATAAGCAGAATATTCCGAAACGTCGCTGAGATCAAGCTTCGTGTCCTGTGGAGACCCTGTAATTTTTCACAAAATACTGTTTATTATTTTGCGTAATTGAAATCGAATAATTTTTGCACGAAAGCTTTCGTAATAAATTGGGAATAATAAAAGTACTTCGTTATAATTGTTTATGCTTATTGGAATGTACCTTGAGCAAAATCGAAAGAGTAAAATTTCATGTAAAAATTGAATTGAAATACTTCAGCTTTAGAATGTTAATAAGATAATGTTTTATCACGAGTAAAAAATTTTCAACAAATTATGAAATACACAACAGATAAATAAAGGGAGTGTATAAATAGATAGTAAATAAGGAAATAAAGGACTATCGATAAATTCTTTCTACACTCTTACCGTAATGTAATTATAATAGCTTCATTCGTAGATTATAGATAAATGCAAAAATCAAATTAACGTTTTTCAAATCTTGCTCCATTTAGCACAAAGCTTGTATTGAGTATACATATAAGTTCTATTTGTTTTTGCATTACTCACGAATAACTTCAATTTTGTAAATGGGTAAAAATTTTCAGTAGCTCTACGAATAACTGCGGATATTTTAGTTTAACAATATATCAAACAATATTAGTTTCCTGTTTATTCTTTGTCATAAAGCATACTCAGAAGATGACCGTCGATGAAATTTATATATCTTATCTGTTGTTATACGAGTTTATAAAAATAGGAGAACCCCGGTTGCAGCCTACAAAAATACGTTTCGTGTGTATGTTAAAGAAGCTTTAAATGAAAAAATTGATCAACGATGGTCAATTCAGTTTTCGTTGTGGGAATATATCAGCTGAATACCAACCACGATGCAGATGACTTTCAGATATCGACGAATACGAATTATTGACTGTAATCTAATCGAATAAACGTCAAACTGTAGAAGAAATTTCAGAAACTATGAATGTTAATCAGGCAACCATATTAAGAAAAAAGATGTCCTCTGCTTTTAATAGCGTTTAAACTCGATATAGTATGAATTCCTTAGGAGACGTTCGTAAAGAGTTGTTTGTCAAGCGATTGTATTTTTCATTGTTATACCTGACAAATATTTTTGCAGGTTTGACGGTCAATGATACTCTTTTTTAAGTTTCGTACAAGTAACGTATACGAATATACTTTCGTTACGATTTTTGACACGAAGTAAACAGGAAACCACCTAAAAGTTGTTCAATTTACAAAATCGAAGCTGCTGACACGTAATTCGGAAATTGAAACAGAACTTTCGCATTCACTCGATATTTTCATTGCAGTACAAACTTTGAGTTAAGTTGGATAAGCTTCCTCGAGAACAATATTAAGAACCGTTAAACTATATCGAATTATAAATCTAAAAAGAGAAGAATCTGTTGATAATCCTAATTGTAGGTGTCTGAAAGAAAACGCAAGAAGGAGATTATATGACTCGAAATAAGTAATATGGCTCGCAATCGACTATGTTTGCGCCTAACTGATGCCTGGTGTAACAGGTTTCACTACAAATCGCTACTGTTACCGTTTCTGTACACGATATAACGTCAAAGATTTTTTTACCATCAATTGGTTCTTAAGATATGCAAACGTAGCGGTTTGTAGTGAAATCTGCCACGCCAGGTATCAATCACGTGCACGTGTGTGCTCGATCGATTTTCAAAGTCATTTTTCTGGAACACGAAGCCTCGTACGACAAAACGTTATTCTATCATTTCCATTAATTTTGAACCATAGAATCTCCCTCATCCTAGTTGTACCACTATTTACGGCCCTGGTTGTACAAATACAACGGGTTAAGTACATACTGGGGTTGAAACCCTAGAATAACAAGTGCCTATGTCACATCGCCAGCGATCCTATCGAATTTTAATCTTGTCTGCAGAAGTATAAATAAAAGTTAGTGTGGGAGACGGGGGGACAAATGTACGCGTGGTCGCGCTTCAAATCCTTTACAGTAAATTCTCCACAAGTGTCAGTCCGCAAGGAACCTAAACCGACATACTGGGGTTGAAACTCTAGAATAACAAGTGCCAGCGATCCTATCGAATTTTAATCTTGTCTGCAGAAGTATAAATAAACGTTAGTGTGGGAGACGGGGGGACAAATGTACGCGTGGTCGCGCTTCAAATCCATTACAGTAAATTCTCCACAAGTGTCAGTCCGCAAGGAACCTAAACCTGACACTTGTAGAGTCAGGGACTACGTTTTCGAGCCTTGCGCCGGCCTTTGTAGTTTGCCGAACGTAGACAAGAACAGCGAATAAAAGATAAGGATGAAACGTGAGTCGAGGCAACCAAGCGATTTAAATACCAACTTTTTTATCATTTTCATCAGAAAAATCTCACCAACATGTTAAAAAAAATTTCAGATGAAAAAAAGTAAAATTAAAGGAATTATGAATTGTCGAGCCGTGAAATCTCGTAAAAGAAACCGAGTGGTGTAGCGTTACACGCCTGACTGACAGCGAGCGAGATAACATAGGCGCAGAAATGACGCAGTCTAGGCGCAGGACCATCTATACTGACACTTGTAGAATCCAAACTGACTGACACTTGTAGAGAATTTACTGTACTTCACTGCTGAGATCTCTGAACATGTAGCGAACAATTCACGGAGGTCCATAGGCCTGCTGTCCTGGAAAATACCTGCTCCGTGTAACCCTTACAATTCTAAAGAATTCTTCGTGGTTGTAAATCACGAAGCACTGGACGCGATAATGTTTACAC